CCTGCAATGGATTGAGAGCGTTCTTTTCACTGCCCAACTTCCTTGGAAGGCCGTGGCGTTGTAGTAGCAGATCGCAAGACTTGCCCCAATAATCCTGGCAGGAACTGACCCTGCCATATGGCCGGACAACCGTTATCGGTCCCTCCCAAAGAAAGCTACCGATCTCCAGGACACAGAATGTCGTGCAGCTAGGAGGGACGTGGGCAAATAGCCCTTTTGGACCAGATAATACTGACAACCTGGTGCAAGCTTCCGTCACCGGACAAAGTCTCCCCTCAATGTTGGGATAAAGTCTATAGGCAGCCTTTGTTCGGTACTCACTTGCAAGGATGGGCAAAAGCATGGTGTGCTCACAATTGGCGACATCCGGGACCCATCCAGAAAGATTAGATCTCATCAGAGACGCATCTCAGGGAAAACTCAGGTATTGTCGTAAACCGGGGGCGACATTGGAAGTAATTCTGGACGTCTCACTGGACTGGGTTTGGGTTTGGATCCTTAGGAAAAAGGTCCCAGCTTGGAGGAAGGGGACTGTATTGTTGTCCCGGGGCAGGATGATACTAGGGTGGTGGGCAGCAATGCCGCAGCATTGTGGCAGTTCACCACGACGGCAACATACCGGTGAACCTCTTCCATAAACTCCCACCCATCCAACCACTTGACCCGCATGGACCTTTTTTTTTTTTTTTTGAAACAAACTCCATCTATTGGTGGGGAGCAGCACCTGCTGGAAACCGGGTCCAGCGTCCCATAGATGCATGGACCTGTACTTATTACCAAGTGGATATCCCCAACTGGGGTCTTCCGTATTGAGGTCCTCCAAGCGTGGGGCTGCTGGCTAGACTACCAGCCTGAAAAGCCGATTTTCACAGCTGGCACACAGCTGGCACTGGACCCAGCAACCTGGCAGTGGACGTCCCAGGCCTCAAGGGGGTAAGACGGTCCCACAACACCTGCACACTCTTACGATCAAAGCCGCTTGCACATGCTTAGGATGTTGAGACCTAAACATAATCTCAGAGACCACGTAGAAGACAACCGGGTAGATACCTGAGATAAGTCTCGAGATTCGCATCAGACAGCAGCAACACAAGAGACAAAAGGCAGGAAAGACATCGAGTGGCCGCACGGATCGTATCGGAAACACATCGACTAAGTACATCCTGCACTTCCCAACACTATCGGTATTGTGCATTTGCCATTTATGCATTTTTAAAAACAAATTAGAGTTGTCAGCAGGAAGCCACTGTGCACCCATGTACTATCAAGGTTCTTGCCGCCGTCATTTTTCGGTGGGAAACCGCTGGCAAGTTTTTGATCATATTGTTGGTCTGCGTAGTTATATCAGGCGGGGATATCACTGCGTTGATCAAGCAATAGAGTAGGCGCAAGTAGTGTTGAAAGGTATTTAAGTATTCAAGAGCGTCGACTCCCAGTCAGACTGAGTAGTTGAGGTAGTCAGTCTGACGTGTGCTCGTCCGAGGGTTGTTCAGAGGCCCCCATGCTTGATGATGATGTAGTTGTCCTGTGAGAGTAAAACCTCTTGACTACTGAGTTTTCACTCTGAGACTCACTTTGGTGGGCAAGGAGGGTGGAGTGCAGACAAGGGACAGCTGGCCTCGGAAAAAGGGAGCACCTCACTTTTGTCTTCAGTTCTTTTTGCATAACTCGGAAAGTCAATGCTGTCTTCAGAAGAGCGAGGGGGTGTACATGGTCAGGTATTGTCAGGCGCCAAGCAGCAGGGGTGAAGAGGCCTCCCCTCACTTAAACCCTTTCATCTTATCCCACCACCTGCTCAGTTAATCCCCTGCTGTCTAGGGTAATCAATGCTAGAGGCCTCCCCTCGCTTAAACCCTTTCATCTTATCCCAACACCTGCTCAGTTAATCCCCTGCTGTCTAGGGTAATCAATGCTACCTTCTTCCCCCAAATACAAAGTACGGTCATTATAGCTGTATTTGAGACATCTTTCAGTCTAGACTTTAGATACAGCTATAATCACCATACGTTGTATTCGGAGGAAGAAGGTAGCAGGTGGAAAGTGTGTTGAGACTATATATCTATGATGAGACGCTGGACCCGATTTGGAGTAGGTGCAGCTCCCCACCAATACATTGGAGCAACCAGAAAGCCAGCTAGGGGGGGTGGGGGCTTACCACCTCTCCTAGCGGAGGAACTGGGTTTAAAAAAAAATATTTAAGTAAGTTTATACAAATTAATATTAATACAACATGATTATAATAATCTATTCTTTCTTCGCCTACAGTCTTCCCCCCAACACAACGCCACCTCATCATGAAAGCATGCAAGTTATCTCTCTGGTCTGACACAGACACAATGAGGGTGCATTGTGTTTTCAATGTTTAGCTTTAAGTAAGGGCATCGCGGCACCACTCACCAAATGTACAAAATGAGAATGAATCTTCCACTAGAACATGGAAAGATGCACCGCCATCATGTTTGTCTTTTGCGCATTTGGAGAGTAGTGCCGCGAGGCCAGTGCGGCCTAAGTTTATACAAATCAATACACGATGATTGTAATCTATTCTTTCATTGCCTACCGTCTTTCCCCCAAACACAATGCCACGTCATTGTGAATGTATATCTGTCTGGTCCGATTCAGTCACGATGAGCGTTCGACGTTCGTTGTGTTCGGGGGAGGACATTAATTTGTTTGGTCTGACTCTGACATATTATTATTATTATTATTATTTTATTATTATTATTATTATTATTATTATTATATTATTATTATTATTATTATTATTATTATTATTTTATTATTATTATTATTATTATTATTATTATTATTATTATTATTATTGACTCCGACATATGTCATCAATGCCATTCGTTTTTGTTTTTTTTAATTAAAGAAAAAAGAAGCCATTCATTGTCATGCCTCTGTTTTTGTTCCGATGGTGTCCGTCACATCCCCTGTTATCCACTTGATTGGATTAAGCTACTGAATCTAGACGTGTTTTAAGCAGAGATGCAGAAAAGCTGTTCAATCTCAATTTTCTTCACCTTTCCACAAACCCGTCCAGGATTCAGGCATTCCATCCAATCCTCTTTGCTAGTGGGACCTCACCCCAATTTCACATTTCATTTCCACTTTCAATTTTGTTGTTACCTGGGGCCAAGTCCCACTAGCGGCGTTGAGTTCCCTCGACGCCTGAATCTGAACGTGTTTGAGGGAATGTGCAGAAATCTCACAGAAATCTCCGTGTGTCCCGAACGACACTTATTAACCCACTGATAGTACTCTTCCCCATTTTTCCACTTTCACATATCGTCTTCCTTCATGTCTGTGTCTCTCTGAAATTGGAAGTTTGAACCGATCGGCAAGGTCCCACTTGCACGGATTAATAGATTCTGGCCGTTGATCTTTGCTATCTACGGTCAATATCGCTTAATTCGTGTAAGTGGGACCTAGCCCCCGATCGGCAACAGATTGAAATATTTTAACAAATATATGGTGCATGGACCGGCAGTCTGCTAGGATTGCAAGGTTGGTGTGAGTAAAGTGGGGACCACTTTTCTCTCTCTTGAGAGTGGGTATCGCTAACTCTGGGCGATGTGGTGAGTCCTTATCCATCAGTCAAATGCATCCTGGGGGCTGACTGTCTGTCGGGGTTCAACCTCCTGCGGATGAGTCGGTGAAAGTCCGACGAAAGGGTCTGGTACAATCATGCTTTTTTTTAGTGTATAGTGAATATGACAACACACACACACACACACGCACACACAGCAACAAAGTGTCGACAAGTTTATGGTGCATGTGGCGGCTCTATGTGGCAAATGAGCCTCAATTGGACTCTCTCTCTCTCTCTCTCTCTCTCTCTCTCTCTCTCTCTCTCTCTCTCTCTCTCTCTNTATATATATATATATATATATATATATATAACAGTTTGTCACAGCCCCTCGTTTGTTGTCCTCTTCTCTCTCTCTGCCTACGGTTTACCGGGCAGTTCTATTTGTGACGATATATATATATATATATATATTTATCTATCTATATATGATATATATATGAGAGACAGATGCGGGCGCTTTCTTCTGTCAGGGTAGATGTGGGTTGAGGTTTTGAACAGATCGGGAATGTTTTTTTTTTTTTTTTTTTTTTGAAGGCCCTTGTTGAGACCTCTATCCTGGTGGTGGTAAGAGAACCACCGGGATTGAGGCTTTGCCTGGCGGGCCGAACAGATCGGGAATGTATGGTTTGAGAATTTCAAATTTGCGGCGTCCTTGTCGCTGGCCTCATTTGGAGTGAATCGGACATATGCCTCCTCCCCCCTGGATGGTGTCAATGAGAGAGGGAGAGGGAGCCAGTCGCCACCAGACGTAGACGTAGAAAGACCCCAAGCATTAAAGAGGAGAAGGTCCAAATTTCTCCAAAGTCAGAGAGGAACGAGCGTTCAACAGTGTGATGATGGATGTAGAGTTGGTGTTAGCTTGTTTTATTGTGTGAGGCTATAGCCGCTATACTGTACTTGAATAATTGAATTACCTTAACCAATTTATTACTTCTGCCATGTGTTTTTTGTTTTTTGTTTTAAATTTTAATATCTTACTAGACTTTTAGACGATTAGTGAGTTCGAACTCACACATCGTCCTTTGGGACATTCGTTAAAACTGAATTTTGAAATGATACACAGAAAGAGAAGATTAGCATGGCCCCTGCGCGCAAGGATGACACACATAAATCGAGATATGGTCCAAAAGTTTGGCAAAAAAAAAAAAAAAAAAAAAAAAGGGTTCGGACCCACATCAATGATGTGTTGGGCCTTCAATGAACTGCATTAAAATTTCCGCCATTCGTAACAATTTTTGTCGTATTTGATTCTGTCCATTACTGTAGTGCCTTTTTTTTTGTTTTTTTGTTTTTTTTTGTTTTGTTTTTTTTTGTTTGTTTGTTTCTTCTTTTTCGATGCTCTTTGTAGTTTTCATAACATGTTATTAATTTATTTTTCTGTTCTAATGTTATCTTGACTGTGAAGCTTGTAAGGCCAAATACTTGCAATTCGAACTGGAGCATGCGGAAATCGTCGTCTTGGAGACGAAAGCTGCATACGCAGCCACGGAGGAGATCCTTGCAGATCATTGCATTCCATCATCAAGGTATCAGACAAACCACGAGTTTTTTTTAAATTATAATAATTTAATAAATATTAAATTCTTTTTTTTCATTGGGGTTGTCCCCCCCCCCCCTATGTCTGTGAGGATTTGAACACACGCTCTGCAGATCATTGTCTTCCATCGTCAAGGTAAGACAATGCACAAGTTTTTTTTACAACTTTCCTTTGATTGCGCTTGGCCCCCAGATTGGAAAAGCAGTCAGAACCTTAAGGTTCTATTTAAAAAAAAAAAAAAAAAAAAAGATTGCGGTTGGCCCCCTTCTCGTCTGTATGTCTGTGAGGATTTGAACTTGTGCTCTCCGTTGTGTCACCAACTTGTTACCAAAAAAAAAAAAAAAAAAAAAAAAAAAAAAAAAGTTACCAACAGTAACATGGGACCACCACTCAGTCACCAGGCAGTTACAAATCAGACCCAAGTTCGAATCCAGATACAATCGACGGGCGTAGCTGTGTGGAAATATGAATCAGACCCAAGGTCGAAGCCAGATACAATCGGATGACCAGAATACAGTCATTCTGAATTACCTGGGGCCGGGCCGTCAGTTCAATCGAACGAGGCTATCGCCGTGAAAGTGAACAGAGGTGTACATCACGGTCGCCGTAGGCCATCATGAACGTCGATGACGGTGTTGTTGCTGCGAGCGTCAGACTTCCAGGGTCCGATGCTCATTGTTGGGCCCTGATGGACATTTTTAAATTTGCAGGCTAGCCGGAGGAGGTCGAGATGAGGTCCTTGGGTGAGGGACTGTGGAAGGGAAGGAAGAGGAGGTGTGGCTGATGTGTGAGGAGGTGCTTACCTGGTGGGGAGAAGTTGGCTGCTTCTGTCGGAGTCTGCATTCGTCACCGGGGTGCTGTACTTCATGAACTTAGGAGTGTAGGTCGATAGGTGCTGTCTGATTGTAGTCTGGACGCTGAGAGCCATGTATAGGAGGAGAGACACGACGTTGTGGATATTGGTGTTGGAGGCGAGAAGAGGGTTTTCATTATCAATTGACTTCAGATGCTTTAAATTTGCTTATTGGTGTACTATCTCGTTGACAATGTGCAATCTGCTTTCAGCTCGTGCACCCAGTTTTGGTTCTGAGGCAAAAGATGTATTAAAAAAGGGACGCTGGACCCGCTTTCCAGCAGGTGATGCTCCCCCCCAATAGATGGAGCAGCCCGACGGGCAAAGCCTCAATTCCGGTGGTTCTCTTACCATCACCTCGATAGAGTACTTGCGAAGGGGTTTAAAAAAAAAAAAAAAAAAAAAAAAACAGGGCAAAGCTGCGGGGACTTTCGCGAGGGACGCGGGGCCTGCTTCCGGGCTTTGATTTCAATAAACAGAAGGTAGAGGAAAAGAAACATGTCAAGGAGAAAAATGAAAACCCCGTTTCCACCAACTGGCAGACTAATATATCCAAAATTGAAACAGCTGTACCTCACATATCTATTAACGGAAGGGGTTTAAAAAAAAAAAAAAAAAAAAAAAAAAAAAAAGGCCAACAAAAAACTTAGCATACCTGTAGTATCATCTATGCAAAAAAAAAAAAGGTATCATCTACGCTAGCCAACAAGCAGCAGGAAGGCAAACGAGGCCAAATGTGTCATTGCTGGTAAGCGACAAGCTGCCTGACAACTTGTTAGGGACGTACCACCTCGAGGTTGGAAAGCCCCAGTTCGACAAGGGGCATGGCCACACCACTCTCGAAATGTGCAAAATGAGAACGAACTTGCTGCTAGAACATGGCCAGATGCACCCGCCACATTTTTGTCTTTTTTACATTTGGAGAGCGGTGTGGCGAGGCCCAAGGACAGATACTCGCCGACAAAGTACGAACTGCTTGAAAGGATGATAGTGCTTCTGAAGGAATATGGGCATCGCTCCACTACTCCGGAAATTCACAAACGACAGAAATCATGCGGATGCATCTTTCCTTGTTCTAGCGGGAGATGCACTCTCGTTTTGCACATTTCGAGAGTGGTGGAGCGAGGTACTGGGCCTCGCCACACCACTCTCGAAATGTGAAAAAGACAAAAATGTGGCGGGTGCATCTGGCCATGTTCTAGCAGGAAGTTCATTCTCATTTTGCACATTTCGAGAGTGGTGTGGCGATGCCCACTATAGTTGAACTTCTCGTAACTTGGCAGAGGGCCTCGCCGCACGGTGCACGAAAAGAAAAAAAAAACGACTTCGGGCCTCGCCACACCACTCTCGAATCTCGAAAATTCGTGAGTCGGCCACCGCCACACAGCATCTCTCGAAAACAGAAAGGCATTTCGAGTGCCTTCTCGAAACGATGTTTTCGCCCAGCCTGCAGCCTTGGAATTTTTGTGATACTGTGACGCCCAAACCTCACGCCCAGCACGACTTCCTGATCGGAGTGGAGTGTGGGCCTGGAAGTGCGAAAAGGGGTGTGCCAAGGATTTTTGGGGGAAGTGGGGGAGTCTTAGGGGTATGAACGCAATTAGGCGAATGAGGGGTACGCGCGCAAGGGTCTCACAGTCCGAAGGGGCCGGAACACTGCGGGCGACAGGTTACGGAAAAATTCCTCCGTGGTGGAGATGGTCCTGAAAAGTTAGGCCGTCGGGGGCCGCCACGTGGCGCAGGCCGCCGCGTAGCTGGGTTGCGCCTTCGGAATTCCGGGGTTCTTTGTGCGCCGCTGCGTCGGCAGTTTACGCAAAACGTGTTGGGCCAATAGAGGGCTATGGCCGGCCACGGAACAACACTGAGTTGATGATACGGGAGAAGGAGGCGGAAGGGAGGGAAACTGGTGGTGATCTCAACGAATCCCGGGTGGGTGAAGTAGTAGGTGTGGTCGGGGGAAGGGAAATCGGAGCACCGAGGGTCGCTAGTGGTGGCACAGTGGAATTCCCGCGGACATAGCCGATTCTCCGTGTGACAAGGGTATCGGGTCCTTATGAGCTCGTTTATTATAGGGGTGAAATAGTCCGGGTCATAGGACGAGTCTGAACCCCAAGATAGCGTCATGGTATCATTGCCGATGGGATAGCGCAGGTCGGGATATCGTCACCGCGCACGAGCACGTGTAGGACAGGCCGACTCAGTGGCGCCTCAGCGTGCTCATACGGGATGATGGTTCTGCCGTGATTCCTTTCGGGGTGAGCGAGTCGACGCGCGGGAATAAGGGCGCAACTCGGATCGCATTTACACGTGTTCTCGTGCGGCGCTCACGGGGCCGGACTTCGGATCGCCTAATTGCTTCGTAAGTCTCGGTTATGCAAGATGCAATCATATCACAACCTCATCATGGGACAAGCAAAAACGAGAACGAAATCGACATCGGGGTCAGATTCTTATCCCATCTATCGCTGCATCCGGTGCAAGCAAAGATTCGGCACAAACAAAAAGCAAGGGCAGGGATTCTCCGCAAAAGAGATAGGCAAGCAGGCATAACATTCATGCATCCATACATTCGACAATCATACACATAATGCAATCGCAAGGACAGGTGTGAGCAAAAACCCAAGTCCAGATTCCAGAAAGCCGAAACGAAGATAAGAACGGGCAAACCGCCCGGAGCCGCAATCAAA